TAAATTATTTTAATTTATTAATATTAGCACTAATACATTAGTTTTTAGCTATTTTAGTTTGTGAAGACCATAATGATCAAATTTTATACATAAATGAGTATAGTATTACTTATATCAAATGTAGAATAAGAATATCTACAACTTTTCTCAGCTAGATATAAATCGAAATCATAAGCTTTAGCAAAAGAACATATTTTTTCGTAGGTTAAAATATTTTCTTTAATTTTCAAGCATAAAATACATCTTTAAAAAATGCGTTAAAGTATGGAATATTTATACTTTTTAAGGTCTACAATTTTTGTGTTTACAACTTCGTGGTATAATATGAAATTCGTACTGGAATGAGCAATAACCACTTTTTTACTGTTTTTCAATGTTTATTTCTTTATGGACCATCAGGACAGTTATTTGTACTATACAAAAAAACTATATTTTAATGAGATTAAAATTTTTTTTTTTACTACTTTTATTGAAATACCAAAAGGATGATTTTTCTAATCTGTTTCGATGTTTTCTTCGATTATTAGAATATGAAGAAGATTTTAATAAAAAAATACAAATAAAATAAAAGTATTTAAAAAATGTATTTTTCGTGAATCTATAATTTCCTTTCTGACACTGACTGCACAAGTCTTTAAACTTTTAAGATGTATCCAAAACTAATTTTTTAAAACTGTGTTATATTACTTTATTCCCTACAAAAGCGTGAAAAAAGCCTTTTGTTGATTCACATTAGTAGTAAAAAGATTTTTTATAAGATTAAAATTTTTTCTTGGCTCGTCTGTGTAGATTTTAAATATCAACTTAAAAAGTTACGTCCACAACTAATTTTAATTTTTTTTAAATGATGCTAGATTTTAAAATGAACCTACAAACTAAATTTAAGCTCAGTTTGATGCAACACTTTTGGCTTCTATGAAAATATAAAACACTCTAGTGAAGCAGTTATCCTAACAATTACAGTAAAAAGTACCAATAATTTGCAATAAATTTTAGAGATACTATAAAAATTTCTAATTAAAAACAAAAACAGTCAAATTAAGCATAAGGGTTTTGTGTGTATCCCTGAAAAAAGCGTGGCATAACTACTTTACACTCGATATCCCTGTTGCACTTTCTTCCGTATACACACTATTGGCTAGATTAAAACAAATATAATAAATTTCCTCAATTTTTCCTTTTAGGGCTCGACTTCTTGGCAGACGGAGGTGCCGACTTCGAGCACGCGATCACCGTCACAGGTAAGAGAATCAACATTACTACATCTTTCAAATACTACAGCCTTCATTCATTTATTTTTCAATTCAGAAGAGCCATATTATGGCTCCTATACACATGCGAAGTTGCTGCTCGTGAGCTCCGTATTGTTAATCAATTATCGACTCGGTGAGAATTTTGTGTTAACGATGCCGCTGCACGTACCCAAGAGCGATAATCCGCATTGATCGCTGTATCAACTGTAGATCAGTAAATTTCGGGGGATTAATAATGACTATGGATTTTGACAGCTTTTTTGAATAACTACGTGTTGAAATCAAATATTTTTTGATAATATTAGATACTTGGGAGTGACAAACACTTCGAGAAAATTTTAGTTTAAATTGATGAATGTAAGAGCTTGTGGAAATTTAATGACAAGAAGATACCAATAACAATTACTCGACTTTAGGACAAAATTTTTTTATTTTTTACGATAGTGTGCATTTGATTAAATGGGCTGCATGCTATCGAAAACAATAACCTATTTTGTCGACTACATTACAAAATAACAAAGTATCTATCGTTGTATGCGTTGACTTTTTTCAACTACTAAATTTATGTCTTTAGTAGAACAGAATTTTAAACTACAATACTTTTAATTTTTTACAAATATTTTTTTTTCAAATAACCGAATGTTTAAATAGTGAGACTACATTTAAAATAAAACAATTAATCCAAATTATGAGGAATTAGTTTCGAGATGAATTTCTCCGTGAGTCAGAAATCATATGAAATAACTGTGCCCAGTGACTTTTTTATAAGATTTCTGTTTTATTTAGTTCAAATCGTATAGAAAAAAAAATCTTGAGTATACGTCACACGGAAAATTTATATGTATATGAAAGTGTTTGCAAAACAAGCTTTGTTGCATAGTATTTGTTTTGAACATTTTATAACACGAATTCTAAACTTTCTTCAGTTGTGCGTAACCAGTACAATAAGTATCACAAATAATATTTACTTGTTTAAAAATTACTCATCACAAATACATTTTAATTATTAACTTTAAATTTTTTCTCAGTGAATTTTACTTCCGATAGATTTTATGTAAGACTACCTATATAAATTAAAAAAAAATTTAATGTATCTATAGTTGTTTTAAGACTTTAATATCAATATTTTTGGTATCATTCAACTATTCGTATAACTATGAACTAGCTAACTTTTACGTAAAAAAAATACATTTACGAATTGCATACTTCACCATATAGGGCAAGTAATAAGATGTAATGAAAAAGGGTAACGAATTTATTCATAATTTTTTATTGGTATCCATTCAAATATTTGCAGCTTTATTGTAATTTTTCATTTATTTTTAAACAAAATTATGCATTGAATTAACAATTAAGTACCTACTTTAAATTATGTATTCGCTGTGCCCAATAACGTTGTTCTCATATTACGTTGTTCTAGCCCTCAATTAATTTGTATTTTGTTCAATCATTTAATAGACCCAGCTAACTTTGAATAATTGAATAAAAGCAATGAACTGAACCAATTTCCAATGAATTTTTCTAGAGTCAGATAGAAGTACGAAAAATGGCAAATTTAACAACGGATCCACTTTTTCATTACAAGAATATCATCATCGCATCACACTGCTTTCCTCATCAATATATTTGAATAAGCTTTTTGAACATTTTATTTTGTCATTACAGCTTTTCTTGTGGTGTAAGGACTTCTTGAGTTAAGTTTTAAATATTTTTGATAAAAGTCGATCAATAATATCAGAGGATGCGATAAAATAAAAATGTTTCTGCCATCGTCTAGCAAATCTTTATAGATAATTTCATCTGAGAAAAAGTATGCGTTATTTTTTTTTCATTCGCAAAACTTTGTCTCTGAATGATTTCTAAGTATTTCTTCATCCACAATCATCCTTCCACGAATTATAATCTTCCTCTGCTCTCTTCATACAATATACGGAAAGAAAATTCGATCCACTTGCCCGACTTTTATCGTTCCATCAATCATTCCGTTTCTTTGTTCCGACAGCTTTGCGTCGCAAATATTTGCCATGTGCAATGTACATCGTGTGATAAAGCAAAGCGTCGCAAACTGCCAACAGCAGTAGCAGAGCAACCGATCGTAATCAAGCCATTTAGTTGTATAAATTTTCGCTCATCATTTTACAATATTTCTTCAGTAATTCCCCTCCACAATGATTTTGGTGCTTTTAAATACAAAATTTTTATCAAATTGGTGCTGAGAATTTGATTTATTTGTTATGAGTTTTCAAATTACAGTATTATTATGGTTTATATCTAAGAGCTCTAGTTGAGTTATTGTTTACATTACATTAATTTACATCAAAGGATACTAAATTTTAAAAGTATGCGGAAAATTCATCATCATTCAAAAGCTTAACTCATTTATAGCCAAAGGAGCAAAAAAATCTAATACACGTTCTTAAAATCGGCAAATCGATACAGAACAACCATACATGAATTTTCGAAAGTATCACCTCACCACATTTACTTATAAAACTGTTTGTTTGATTACAAGGCTAACTCTATGATAAAACGACTTGAAAATGTTTATATTCTTACATCGATCGTCGATTGTGACGTAGGTATGAGTGTGTATCGTCGACAAATATCAACTGCCTACCAATACTATGTTGTACAACTTGTTTAAACAGAAACTGTAGCCTATATAGATCGGCGTGCCGTGGCCTGTTGAAACTCGTAATGGCTCAATTAAACATTCACCACTTTTATGAGTTCATGCGTGTCTTAAAAGCTTCGATAGCGCGCAATGTTGACTCAACTTTTTTCATTTTTAATGAGTCACGCCAAATAAAGGTATGTTGATCTACTTAGCCAAAAACTTGGTACGACGAACTCTGTCGTAATCTTTTAAGTATTTTCTTAGATTAATGTTGTACATTAAATTTTAATAAGCTTAATGTCTTTATCATAGAATGATGATTGTTCTTTTCATAAATTTCGTCAAACGTCTGACCGATAGTAGGACAAATGTGTTTTTCGAATCTTGAAGAGACTTTACAAGCGTATATTAATATAGGCTGTCAGAATTCAAGTTCAGGTTACCAAACAAAGATAACTTTTAGTTCGTTTTCAAATAATAAATTCATGCCCAAGCACGTGATTTTATTTCTGCTTGGATCAGAAACATCTGACACGTACATGAGAATCAAAGCATTTAGGCAATATATTTGTGTTACAGGATTTGGGAAATTCCACTTTATGCTGCTGGTTGTCAGCGGCTTGATCTATATGGACACAGCTATCGGGGTAACAATTCTATCATTCGTTCTGCCAGCTGCCCAATGCGATCTTAAGATGGACTCAACATCAAAAGGCTGGTTGACGGCATCACCGATGCTAGGTAATTTTTCGTTGTATTTTTCATCCCACCGTGAGTTTTTAATAACTTTTTATTTATAAATGTTATTGCTCGTTATACAGGAATGGTTATCGGTTCCTACATATGGGGGTGTCTGGCTGATACCAAGGGTCGCAAAATCGTACTCATCTCGACCCTACTGATGGATGGTATCGTCGGCATCTTGTCATCCTTTGTACAGTATTTCTGGGTGTTCCTAGTATTCCGTTTCTTCAATGGTTTCGCGTAAGCTATTTTCTACATAACTTTGCTGGTTTTACCGATAACTTTTGATGACCATTACCTTTTTACAGTGTAACTGGAGCCATGGGACTCATTTTTCCATACTTGGGTGAGTTTCAGCCAACCAAGTACCGCGAAAAGATCCTCTGCTGGATGGAAATGTTCTGGACGGTCGGGGTCATTGTGCTGCCACGTAAGTACACCGTAACCTGATACTCTTCTCTCGTCAAACCAAGCGGGTATCTGATCTTGTTACCTTCTTTCAGTGATAGCTTGGCTGATAGTGCCTCTAAACCTGTCGTCGTATGTGTCGGCGAGCTACGACTTTAAGTCGTGGAATCTCTTTGTGGCAGTGTGCGCTCTGCCTTCACTCATGCTTGGGCTCTGGCTGTTTGCCTTCCCCGAGAGTCCAAAGTTCCTGCTGGAGTGTGGCGATACCGATGCTGCCCTCGAAGTCTTCAAATGGATCTACACCCAGAACACAGGAAACGATCCCGATACCTATCCGGTTAAATCCCTTCAGGAGAAGCCCAACTCTAAGGACAAAAGCACAAGGTCCCTCAAGCTACACAAGAGGAAGGACCTGAAGGTTCTTGTCGCTGAAGTCTGGGATCTCACCAAGCAGTTGTGCAAGCCACCATACCTGAAGAACACCCTTCTGGCCTGTGGTATCCAGTTTTGCCTGACCAGCAGCTACTACACCCTTATGGTCTGGTTTCCGGAATTGTTCAATAGGTGAGTGGATAAGTCATTACTTTTGGAGTTTTACAAGGTAACAAATAAAACATGATTCAAACAAGTGTCCAATGTTTACAGATTTGAAGAATTTGAAGTATTATACCCCGGTAACACAACATCGGTCTGCGTCGTATCCGAAATATCCGAAGGTACAGTTGATGCAGATCCTTTCGGCTGTGATACAAATATTGCCGATTCAGTTTATCTACATACCGTATTTATCGGACTTGCCTGCTTGCCGGGCTCCATCGTACTTCCGCTTCTGGTACACAAACTCGGAGCCAAGTTCTTTCTCAGTGAGTAAACTTTGGATGTTTAGCATTTGCGATAAAACAGCCAAGAATCTAACAATCACCTTTTTGTGATTCACAGTTGTATCTCTATTCGTTTCTGGATGCGTGACCGTTGGATTCTATTACGTGGTGAATGCGACGCAGAATCTAGTATTATCATGTGTTTTTGAAGCCCTCACGTCTCTGGGAATATCCCTAGTGTATTGTGTGATCGTTGACATGTTCCCAACTAATCTCAGGTAAGTTTGAAGCTTTGTTTCAGTGCATTAGTAGAGTTGACATAATCGATTCCGAGAAACTCTTGTCTCTTATTTTCGGATAGTTGGAAATACAACAAAAAACGGTGTATGGATATTAAAATAAGTCTGTAAATTAATCGTCACTAATAGCTCAAATATTGTTTTTCATTACCATATTACTAGCACTTGCATAAAAAATAATCAATTATCAGGTTGTCAATTAATAAATCAGTCTCAAAGCCAGCAAGCATTGCAACACCTTACTTATAATCGTATATATGTTTGCAGCTGTGAGCAAAACAAACACGTGTCACGCGTATCCATCCCCTACAGATAATGCGTCTATAAAACGATTTCTACGACAAATTCGCGTCCACCCAATCCCGGCTTGGTTGAATGTACGGTTAATAAACGAATCGTCGTTTTTTTCGTTTTTGATGCGATGCATACCTCTATTTATGTATGATGGAAACAACGAAGAGTAAAAGGCAGGTCGGAAACGTGAGTGCCGTTATTCCACGTTTGAAGCAAGCGTATTATATTCCCGTGGGAGCAATAACTATGAGGAAAAAATTATGGGTTGGCACGTATTCGTTTTCCCTTTTCATCCCTCTCTCTTGTTACTTTTGATGTCATCTTTTGCTGTATTTCGCTCGGCTTAAACCCAAAAGTTAAGAGTTTCAACGATGATTATTCAAAACCGCTGAAAAAACATTGGTCCCAAAAGTATATAAAGTCTTTAAAAAAATGTAGTTAAATTTTAATAACATTTTAAATACTTTAAAATTGTTTATTGCTTTGAGCAACTTATAATAATTTACGCGGTAATTTGCATGGTTGAATGTTCCCATCTAGATGAAAATGCCTAAAAAGGTGTACTAAACTAATTTACAACAGATTATTTGAGTAAATAATACATCGTTGTGCTAAAAACTACCATAAAATAAAATAATACTTGAGTAATGTGGATACGATTAAGAGTCACCAAAATCAACGAATGCATTTGACGTTTTTAAAATATTTGTTCATCATTATAACTGTTTTTTGACCATAATAAAGTTGTGAAAATATAGTATGTTTAAAAACGATTGAATTATTCCAAGTTGGAACGTTTTTTAAACGGTGTAAATCAGTTTTCACAGAATAGATTTTCAAGATCAAGCCGAACATTTTTTTGCATGGCCGTAACATTGAAAACACAGGCCAAAATGTCATTACCGTAACGCGAAGCATTTTGAAATTCCATTTTCTGTGGCTTCTGGTGCCTGGACTTTGATGTTTTAATTTTTTTATACATGTAATTTTTGAAAGTTTGAGGTATAAACACCTTTTCTTATAGTTTAAACATTGTGAGAAAGGTTTTTTTTTTTTTTTAAGTGCAGGAAGTTTCATTTTTAAAGCCTACTTTTGACACTTTTAAATTGTGTGCCACGAATGTTTTAATTTAACCAAACGATCAATCCTTAGACACTGGAAATTAATCCTTTTATATTTTGGAGTGTACGAGAATACTGTCAATTATGGCTATTTATAGTGTCATTGCAAATACAGAAATTTTTTCCGGTAAAATAATCAGTCATTACCGTAACGCTCCCAACCGTCTTAATAAATTGTAGGTTTTATTAAAAATTCCGACTTTGGGCTTCACAATCACAAACAGGTGTGTCCTTACCGTACTAACGCTCTTTTAAAATTCTTTTACAATTGCATTTAAATTGACATAGGGTTTTAATAATTGACCGCAGTCAGGCTCAGAAGTTTCTAACGAGTTTAGACTTTACATAACTTAGAAAAAATAATGAAAAAACTCTAAACATTAAATTAAAAAAATCTAAATTAGGTCGTGAAAATACCACAGTTTTTGTGAAACAACCCATATACAAAATCTTATATACGTACTTTAGATCTAATGTCATACATATAGAGGCTCTAAACAGAGCGCGCTTTACGTGCCAGAAGGATAGATCACTAACATTTTTAACCCATCATAGTTAGTTTAAAAACATTCCTTTTAATTTATCACATGTATAATTCAAGAGCTGATTGATATCTCTGTTTTTTAAAGTAATTAGAGATTATTATGTGGATTATAATAGTTGTAAGCCCAATTTTCTACTTTTAAATAAATATCATAAATGTAATAAAATCTAGTAATAATACCCAAAAACAATCGTAACCTAACATGGATAAATAAACATTAGAAGAATGATTCGTGGACAAAAAAATTATTGCAAGTTATCCCTTGTTTCAAGATAAAAGCTTCATTTACTTGTAATCCCTCCTGTGATCTTTGCTCTATTTGTGCATACAACCATAGATTATATACGTAGTTTACAAAACCACTCTTATGGTAAATAAGTGATACCACTTGTGGTGCACGATAAATTGCGGTCATTTAACCCATGCAATCTTATACATCCGGCTATAAAAAGTTGATACGTCCAACAATAAACATACTTTAAATTTCATTACAATTTCCTTGAATACCATTAGTAATATATACTTTTTATTTTCAGAGTAATGGCAGCAGCATTATCATTGACTATGGGCCGACTGGGCGCTTTAGTGGGTAATCTCGTATTCGGTTACTTGATCGATCTGGCCTGCGTTGTCCCCATCGTTTTGTTTGCTTCCTTTTTATTCAGTAAGTAAACTATTTTTACTCATTATCATAAGTAGTAACATAACTTTCACTACAACTACACTCTTTTTTTTTTCTTTTTTTTTTTTACATTTTAATAAAATGGTTTTTCACCACCACAAAAAAATAGATGGTGATAGCAACAAGTTGAAAATATCACTTGTGATGAAAATAACTGATGCAAAAACTTTGTCGTTTCAGTATGCACTTTCCTGTCGTGCTTCTTGCCAAAGACTGGAAAGGAGACCCTCGACTAAGGAGAAACAATACTGCACTCACGCTTCTCCGCCAGAGTCTTCGCACCAATCGTTAACTAGCAGATCTTCCGTACGAGCGTGGCCTCTTGGCGTTATACTGTTAAAAATCGAGCGTCTACATTATTTTATACTTATGTGCATGTATATTTTTATACGAAGGTATATGCTGATGAGCTCGTCGATAACGTTAAGGAAGGGTCACGCAATTCTCAACGAGTATTCGCTATGTGCTAGCCGTATATTTTTCCTCTGTACGCGTATCCGCATATTGTTCGCTGAAAGAATGTTCAAAATGTGCGAGATGCAGTTTTTTAGAACCAATGACCGGTTTGGATGCTGATTTTTGATCGTTTGCCTGCGACAAGTCGAGACATTAAGGATATGTTTGTGGAATAAAATGGAAGGATCTTTGAGCCACACATTTGTTTTAGCTCGCAAAGTTCCTTGACAATGAACATTGATGTTGTTTCTCATTAAGAAAAGTATTTTCACAAAGCTCGCTTACCGTAATCAGCTTATTTATTAGTTTCACCGTTTTGAGTAACAAATCGTAATTATGTATTTCTTTTTTTTTTTTTTTTTTTTTGATAGACTTAATAGATGCATTGTTTCTTAATCAAGTTTATAAAGTGCCGTATTGTCTACGTGGATGTGCCTTTTTACAAGTGCCTATAAAACAAAATTATCTCAAGAAGATACAAAAAAAAAAAAAAAAAACACGACCAATGACGTACACCCTACCATTATTTTGTTTAGTCGACAATTCTTAAAACTATACTCGTGTGAATGAATACTTTTTGAAACGAAATATCAAAGTATTAAAACAAGCAAATAAAATGGGGTGGGGGTAGTTCTCTTGCAAATCAAGCCGGGTGACGGCTTTAAATTTGTTTCAAAAAGCTGTCGTCCTTTCAGTTCTCGCTTTGCTTTTAGCTAATTTTTGTTACATACATATAATATATTATCTAAAATTTATCGCTGTACATACGTTATATTTATAATCGTCCCCTTGTGTACCTACTTTGTCCGGGGAGAAGGAGTGCGTAATAACACGAGAAATCCGATCTCGCAGTCTATATATACATTATGCATAGTTGATCAATTCACACGTTGTTATTGTTACTGCTGTATAAATACTAGTTAAGCCGTTACCGATGTACATTATTTCCTTCATATGTGAGCCTATAGAGAAATGCAGGGCGTTATTTTTTAATCCAAACGATAGACTAAAACATACGCTTTTGAAGTACCTTTTCGTACGCGTGTACGCCAGGGCATAGTTTTACTTAGCAAGTCGTTGCTGGTAGTTAAACATAAAGAGAAAAAAAAAATTGATTGCTTCGCAAAGTCGATAGTTTTACTGTCAAGTAGACGTTATTTTTCTGCGATTGAACGTATCTTAATTATTAAAATTTACTAAGGAACGACTAAGGAAGCGGTAGATAATATATGTTTGACGGATCATCGATGAGATTACAGAGAAACTGTTGATGTCGATTTCAACCATAATTTTTTCGATGTAGTAGTTTTTTTTTAGAAAAAAAAACAAACATTTTAATTAAATTTATGTATGTATCTTAGTTGCGCTTGTATTATCGAAATGTATGTGTCTAGTGTATAAACAATTGAAATATATGTTGACAATAACTGAAATTTATAAGGATTAATAATAATATTTTACATACATATAAATCTGGGTATTAAATTTCATCAGGAATGTTCCCATCTAGATGAAAATGCCTAAAAAGGTGTACTAAACTAATTTACAACAGATTATTTGAGTAAATAATACATCGTTGTGCTAAAAACTACCATAAAATAAAATAATACTTGAGTAATGTGGATACGATTAAGAGTCACCAAAATCAACGAATGCATTTGACGTTTTTAAAATATTTGTTCATCATTATAACTGTTTTTTGACCATAATAAAGTTGTGAAAATATAGTATGTTTAAAAACGATTGAATTATTCCAAGTTGGAACGTTTTTTAAACGGTGTAAATCAGTTTTCACAGAATAGATTTTCAAGATCAAGCCGAACATTTTTTTGCATGGCCGTAACATTGAAAACACAGGCCAAAATGTCATTACCGTAACGCGAAGCATTTTGAAATTCCATTTTCTGTGGCTTCTGGTGCCTGGACTTTGATGTTTTAATTTTTTTATACATGTAATTTTTGAAAGTTTGAGGTATAAACACCTTTTCTTATAGTTTAAACATTGTGAGAAAGGTTTTTTTTTTTTTTTAAGTGCAGGAAGTTTCATTTTTAAAGCCTACTTTTGACACTTTTAAATTGTGTGCCACGAATGTTTTAATTTAACCAAACGATCAATCCTTAGACACTGGAAATTAATCCTTTTATATTTTGGAGTGTACGAGAATACTGTCAATTATGGCTATTTATAGTGTCATTGCAAATACAGAAATTTTTTCCGGTAAAATAATCAGTCATTACCGTAACGCTCCCAACCGTCTTAATAAATTGTAGGTTTTATTAAAAATTCCGACTTTGGGCTTCACAATCACAAACAGGTGTGTCCTTACCGTACTAACGCTCTTTTAAAATTCTTTTACAATTGCATTTAAATTGACATAGGGTTTTAATAATTGACCGCAGTCAGGCTCAGAAGTTTCTAACGAGTTTAGACTTTACATAACTTAGAAAAAATAATGAAAAAACTCTAAACATTAAATTAAAAAAATCTAAATTAGGTCGTGAAAATACCACAGTTTTTGTGAAACAACCCATATACAAAATCTTATATACGTACTTTAGATCTAATGTCATACATATAGAGGCTCTAAACAGAGCGCGCTTTACGTGCCAGAAGGATAGATCACTAACATTTTTAACCCATCATAGTTAGTTTAAAAACATTCCTTTTAATTTATCACATGTATAATTCAAGAGCTGATTGATATCTCTGTTTTTTAAAGTAATTAGAGATTATTATGTGGATTATAATAGTTGTAAGCCCAATTTTCTACTTTTAAATAAATATCATAAATGTAATAAAATCTAGTAATAATACCCAAAAACAATCGTAACCTAACATGGATAAATAAACATTAGAAGAATGATTCGTGGACAAAAAAATTATTGCAAGTTATCCCTTGTTTCAAGATAAAAGCTTCATTTACTTGTAATCCCTCCTGTGATCTTTGCTCTATTTGTGCATACAACCATAGATTATATACGTAGTTTACAAAACCACTCTTATGGTAAATAAGTGATACCACTTGTGGTGCACGATAAATTGCGGTCATTTAACCCATGCAATCTTATACATCCGGCTATAAAAAGTTGATACGTCCAACAATAAACATACTTTAAATTTCATTACAATTTCCTTGAATACCATTAGTAATATATACTTTTTATTTTCAGAGTAATGGCAGCAGCATTATCATTGACTATGGGCCGACTGGGCGCTTTAGTGGGTAATCTCGTATTCGGTTACTTGATCGATCTGGCCTGCGTTGTCCCCATCGTTTTGTTTGCTTCCTTTTTATTCAGTAAGTAAACTATTTTTACTCATTATCATAAGTAGTAACATAACTTTCACTACAACTACACTCTTTTTTTTTTCTTTTTTTTTTTT